GCTTCTCATGCACTAAAACCTCAGTATTTGGCCCTCTCTGGTGGTGCAGGGGGTTAAAGCACAGCACTAAGAAGCTAAAGCCTCTTCCGCATGAGTTCGATCCCCACCTGCCCCAGAGGAGCTCCACATGGCGAGGCAGACCTCTCCTGACCTGCCCGCTGCTCCCCTCAGCAGTGTACTTAGTCAACCTGCCTGTTCTGCACCCCGCTCTGTCTCTGGCGAATCCTCTCACTCTCCGTGTTTCTGGCCTATACCCCAGTTTTGTACGAATAAATAAATCTTAAAAAAACAAAAAACAAACAAACAAAAAAACAACTCAGTATTTGTGGTGCTTTCCTTTATTCATTGGTAAGAAGAAAGTAATTATATTTTGGACTTAACTTACATCAAATGAAAGAACTCTTAAGCTTGACTTTGCGGAATCTCGGTATATCTGCTATCAACCACATGTGCTAGCTTGGAAGTTAAATCCCTAAAGTTTTATTTCCCTCACTATAAAGTTGTGGAGACTATTCTTTGACATGTCCAGATCCTAATCACAATACATAAAAACAATTTGCAAATGATGAAACGTGTGTCTGCAAGGGTTTTAGTATGGGGCTTCCACCTTCACTTTCAAATAGGGAAACTGAGGTCCAAACAGGAAATGAGACATTTTCAAGGCCACTCAGTGAATAGGCAGGTGAACCAAGAGGGAACCGAGAGGCTCTCCACACCTCACTGAGCTACTTCTTACGTGCTGAAATGATTGTGAACCTTTCCACGTATCAGAAGAGCACCCTGCTCCAGTTCTCTCTTTTAAAAATTACCCTACAGCTAGGAGGTTGAAAGCAACGAACATTTATCTCTCGGTTTCTGAGCATCAGGAATCCAGGGCTGACTTAGCTGGGGGGCTGATGTCTCAGGGTCTTTTTTTTTTTATTATTTAAAGATTTATTTATTTGTGCATATAAGAACTGAGGCAGAGGCTAGAGGTGTGGGGGTTGAGATGATTCACCAGTGACAGAGCAGGGATCAGAACAGGCAGACAGACTGAAATACACTGCTGAAGGGAGCAGCAGGTGGGTCAGGAAAGATCTGCTGCACCTTGTGGATCATCTCCCTGGCCAGTTACTGAACTCTGTGCTGCAGTGGCTGTGGACAGCCCATAGTGCTGCACTTTAATCCCTTGCACCACCACAGAGGTCTTTCATGAGAAGATATCGGACCTGAAGTTTAACTGGGCTGAAGAACCTAGATCCGTGTGACTGGTTGCTGAAAGACTGGGCTTCCCCCACAAACTGGCCTCCCATGGTGTGTTCAAGACATGGCTAAGAATCAGAGAGAGGGAGAGAGGGAGATTTAAGTGCAAACTGATGAGCCAGGACCTTATTTATCGTAAAATGGGAAACAATTGATAATTAATGAAAATTGCTAAAGTCTTTTCTGAAGTCTTTTTGGGACTCATCACTATTCAATCCATGTTTAATTATCTGGGCTGAGATCTTTGACCACTGTTCAAGACACTGCAACTACAGATGACAACAACTCAAGAAAACAAAATTTAGTAGCAAGAACTCTAAGGACATCACATAATGACACATAAACACCACAAGAAGAGAAACAGGGAAAACATATCAAGTATCTCATTAGAAAAATGTGTTGGGAGAAGAGAAAGGCTTGTGTTCAGACTTGTCTATTGATGGCCACAAATTCTATGATGTTAGATTCAGAAAGAAACTTTGAAATGATCTAGATCAATGTTAAGCCCAGATTTAGGTTCTGTCTTCAACTACTTGCCTGAGCTTTAGAACTGTTTACTCAGTTGTCTACTGGACTTGTCAGTTGGTTGAACTCCAGGCAGTTTTATCTCAACATGTCAGAAGTCAGATTCATCATTTCTCTACCCTCTTCTGCTTTGGGCGTTTTATTTACTTAAATGATCACCTTCTAGCTGTGCAGTGCAGAAACCGGTAGGTCATCCTCTCTTGAAAGCCATATTCAACGGCTTTCAAGATCTACTGATTCTCCATCTACTGATCTACTGATTCTCCATCTAAAACACCCCTAACTTTACAATCTTATATCCTCAAATTGACTTCTTCTTCCTCACAGTAGCCTGATCACATTCCTCCTCCTCCACTTTGCATTTACTATTTAGGAATGTGTTACCTTGCCAGGAATATTCTCCCCTCTTATCCAACTAGAAACTGTGCCATCTTTCTCAAGACTTGTCATCTTTTCCCTATGGGATGACTCTAGCCTTCATCTAGTCTCCCCACACATTATTACCAACTTCTAAGGTCATTGCTATCTACATGTCTACCACTTCCACAAAACAAAAATGAGTGCTTATTCTTTTATAATAGGAAGCCCTGGACCCTAAAGACTAAGTGCTTACTTGAGTTCAAGTTTGCATGGTGTATCAATGGTGACCTGGACTAGAAGATATTCTGAAAACAAGATTCATGCCCAAAGGCTGCCTATGACAAAACATACACTGATTTTTTGACCCTTGAGAAGTGTCTGCTGTGTTGAATCCTTGGTTGTCTTTGAGGTTGAAACCAGACCCCCCAAAGGAGTGTCCTGCATTAGGATGGCAGGCCTACCTGTCAGTTAGTGGGCCAAGAGCATCAGCATGGAGGGTCTGGGTTGGGCGTTCAGCCCTTGCTTCCAGGATGGCCCACGAGAGCAAGTGCCACTCTGATTTGTGAGTCACCCATTTCTACTCCACAGAGGCCTCATCACATAGGAGTCTGCCAGCTTTCATCTCCATCTCTCTTACCCCTGGGGCCAAAAGTCAAATCTAGTTTCTGCTAACTTGTATGATTTTTAGCAGCTCCCCTGGCATTCCCAGCTCCAGAACCTTTAGCAAGTGGTTTCCTTTGAAAGTTTAAGGTGGAAATCTCCAAGCTGGGCCTGTGCTTCTCCTGACAAATGTGTAATCAATGGGAAATCTCTCACTGGGTCCTATTCTACCCCGAGTCTCGCTAAAAGGCACTTTCAGAGCTGAGAAAGGCTCTTAGAGACCTTTTACAATGGACGAGGCCAACCTAAAATCGTCACCTTTTTTCCTCCTGGGTAGTCATTCACTATTACCAACCTCTGACAATCCAAGAAGAATGTGAGGCTACAGACAGAAATCATTCTCTTAATACATACAGGACAGCATGCTCTTACTCACAGGCAGGAAAGCAGTGACTTGAGAGAAGATTGTGAAGGGCAGGTAGATGGTAAGGACTGGGACAGAGTGTACCTGTGGATTTGGGTTCTGCTCAATCTCAACAAGCAGAAACTTCCAATGCTGACTTTCCAATCAAAGTCCAAGTAATGTAAACATCTATTTCCAATTCTCAATTTTAAGAAGTAAATAAAATGACTTACTGACATAATGCAAAGATAGATACATTGTCACAAGTAGTAAGAATGCTTATTAGCATCCTTCCATATTATGATGGTACCCAAGAGAGAAAAATGCCAACACAATTTTGTTCTGCTCACAAAATGCAATTTAACATTACTTTGAAATGATGTTAAAAGAAAAAAAATCCTGATTCAAAAAAATCAGTAAGATTTTTAAAAAATATTAAAATCATTCTGGTTTATGTGGAAAACACTCAGTCTTGAGTTATATCAATTTGTAAATGTTCTTAAGGTCATTCTTCTGCTAATTTCTCCAGACACAAAGTTCTACAAATGTTAAAACTCTGCAATAACCAAAATTAAAGATCTGATGATAGCACAGTGATAAAGCAATTTGTTTAACATTGTAACTTAAAATATTCCACCCCAAAATTTTAGATACCAGAACTCCAACTATACCCACCAGCTCAATATGAACACAGACTCTCCTTTCCTATATTTCATTCCACAATAAATCTTTTTTCTCCCACCAAACTTTATTATTTCATTCCCACGACTGGAATTCTTAAAGCCCTTTAATTTCCCAACTCTCATTTCATTCACCACTTCATGACTTGAACCATTCATTGAGGTTGCTTCTCTGGGCAAGCAGGTACCAGCACAAACTAAAAGAAAATAGCAACATTCTATTTCATAGCACAGCTTCAAAGATATACATGTTTCAAAGCAAACCATTAAATTCCAAATTAATTTTCATTAACCACAGATTCTCTCAAACCATGCTTCCTGGAAGTACTTGTGCCAGTTCCCAATATATATATATATTTTTAGTTCGTCATTTCTTTAGGTGCTTTCTCTATGGATTCCTGTATCCTTCAAGGACCAGAATATTAGACACAAAGGGGAAGACACACAGGCATACAACATGTGGATACAGAGAGGATTTTCTTCCACTAAAGTCTCATGAATATCTTGTGTAACTGCAGCTTTACTTGTTGCTGCAGACACAGAGCTTTCTCTGGCCTCCTTAAGAGGACAAACCTTAGTTTTTGAGGCTATATTCTTTTCACCACTGACAGAAAGGCAGTTCTACTCACATTGAAGTAGTCATGCTTTTTGCTCACCTGAACCACACAAGTGTCTGTTAAAACAGTCTGCAAAGGGCCCTCCCTGGTGGCGCAGCAGGTTAAAGCACAGCACTGAGAAGCTAAAGCCACTTCTGCATGAATTCGATTCCCGCCAGCCCCAGAGGAGACCACGTGGCGTGGCAGACCTCTCCTGGCCCGCCCGCTGCTCCCCTCAGCGGTGTTTTTCATTGATCTGCCTGTTCTGCTCCCCACTCTGTCTCTGGTGGAGCCTCTCACGGCCCCTGCACCTCTGGCCTGTACCCCAGTTCTGTATGCATAAATAAATCTTTAAAAAAAAAGTCTGCAAAAATGCAACAAATCAAACATATAGGCCTATATATTTAAAAACAAACTCAAAAATTAAAAATATCAAAATGTAAAGCCCAAAATCAGAACTAAGTATTTCCCCATGCAGTCAAATCAAATTTCCAAAGTGGGGAGTGATGACAGCAGATATCACATTGCTTCAGATGCCATCATGCATACTTTGGCTTTGGAAGGAGAAAAAAAAACTTTCATTGGAGCAATTACCAAGGAAGACTCATAGCTTTATTCATCATTCTCAGGGTTTCCAGTGTTCACTGGACTTTAATCCTTGGGTATGCTGCAAGAGAAGCTGAAAGAGAGAAAAAAATCAGTTTTTGTCTATATTCTTAAAGGTGTGTCTCAGGTCTTCAACAGTTTCATTAAACCAAAGGGTTTGGCCTCCAAGTCATTGACTTCTGGGGCTTACTTCATTCTGGAGTCATGCACGCAGGATTTTATGCCTGCAAGTTTCAAACCACACATCATAAGGATCAGATCACAACAGGAAACCCTCACAGCAAATTGTGCAGTCCGCAAGGTGGGCATGTCCCCTCCTGTATCAGCCAAGGTCTAATGTACTGACTGTGACATGGATGAGCCCAGGGAAAACAGAAAGGTTTTCTGGAGTGGTTTTCATGACAAATCACACAAGATTCCTCTTTCTGCATGTCCCCTGTATAGTTACGAGGGCCGAGGAAGGCTGCTCTTCAGTGTGCCATTATATGGGTCTCTGCCTTTGCTAAATCCAGTTTATGGAGGAACATGAAAGGATGAAATTCCTTCTGTCCCAGTCAGGCAGAATTTGTTCAAGCTGATGGTTGGTCAGAATAGGAGGCTCACTTGCTCTTGAAACAAAAAGGAAATTGTAAAACATGCAAAGGCACACACACACACACACACACACACACACACACACACACACACACACAAAGCCCTCCAGAAGCAAAAATCCCAAGTTAAAGGCTGCAAATGCCTACTGAGTCTCCCATAAAACAAAATCAACTTAAATATACCAAATTTCGTCAGATTGTCCAAACCAAAACATAGGAAGGAGTAGAAAAAGGGGAAGGGAAGAGAAAGGAGATGAAGGAGAGAAGCAGAACCTTCTAAACTGAAGGCTGGACTCATGTCTAAATCAAAAACACACACAAGAAGAGCCCTAGTTAGGAGCAGTTGTAAGTAAAATTGAGGGATTTATTAGATATGGGATGGAAGGATTGGATTCTTCTTTTCAAAATTTGTATCTGTTGAACTGAAGCCAGCATTCCCTATACCACTTGCATGTTGAAAATTATATAGGCAAGACACACACACACACACACACACACACACTCACTCACTCTGGAAACGGGGAAACAAAGACACAAGGGGAGGATGAGAATCATGCTACTAGTGCAGATATATTTTTTTAAATATAATAGTTTATTTTTCCATCATTTTGTACATTTTTTTTTCCATCTCAATTGTAATCCCTGTGGGCTTCCCATCACCAAGTTACCCATGTGGCACATACCTTTTAAAACACCTAATTTATTAACATTTAAGTTACATATAATAAAGTGTCCATATTACAAGGGTGCAGTTTATTGAATTTTGACAACTGTATATACCCTTGTAACTACTTCTGTCAAGATACAGAACATTTATGTCATCTAAAAATACTCCCTGGTGACACTCCACCCCCATTGCTAGGTAACCAATGATCTACTTTCTACCACTATAATTAATTTCCTGTACATAAAACCACACAGCATACAATCTTTGGTATCTTTCCTTCTTTCATTTGGGGTTATGTTTTCAAGATTCCTCTCCACGTCTCAGAAGTTCATTTTATTTAATTGCTAAATAGAATTCCATTGTTGGGATAGCACCAAATTTGTTTGCCTAGTCACCTATTGAATGTTTAGGTTGGTTCCAGTTTTTAATTATTATAAATAAAGCTAACCTGAACATTTGTATGCAAGTGTTTGAGTGGATATATATTTCCATTTGGGGAGGAAGACACCTAAGAAGGGAATTTCTAGGCCATGTGGTAAATAGGTAGACATTTAACCTTATAAGAAACTAGCAGCTCATTTTAACCAACAGAACACTTCTTATCATTATTCATCATAATTCAATGATGAGGAGAAAACAAATTTAGCCCAGTCCTACTTGAATTATCATGAAATTTAAATTGGTAAAATCTGAATTAACAAGATTAAGCCATCACAAAATGTTAAATTAATCAAAAACTGGTTTGGATTTTTAATTCATATGAGGAGTGTTTCTCAAACAATATTTTGTGCACCAAGGAAGGAGCAATTTTCTGATTTTGTATATCTTCCCCCAGGAAAGAACAGTAAGATACTGTAATTTTATCAATGGGGTTTAAATGCAGGACATGAAATTGTGTTCTATAAACAAACTTCTTTTACTATTTTTTTTTGAAAGGTAGTAATGTGAAGATGCAAGAAATATTCCAGAGTAGGAAAAAGTAAAACCTAGGGAACACAAGTTCTAGCAAGAGGGCAAGCCATTGCCTCTGCAAGGGCATAAAGCCTCATTGTTTTGCTTATAAAACCAAGTAACTATTGGGCCTCCCAGTTGGTGCAAGGGGTTGATTCTCAGCACTATCAAGCTATTGCAGGCACTGCAGCATGTGTTTGATCCCAGACCCAGGAGCTGACCCACATGGCGCAGAAGACCTCTCCTGTCTCTGCTGCTGCTCCTCTCAGCAGTGTATTTCAGTGGATCTGCCTGTTCCCCGCTCTGTCTCTGGTGAGCTCTCTCATCCTGCCTCTGTACCTATGGTGTATATCCCCAATCTCATATGCATACATAAATAAAAAAATAAATCTTGAAAAAAGTAAAACCAAGTAACTCTTGTACAGTCCCTGATATCAGTCTCTTGAGTCAACTCAGCCAGAAAGCCTGGACATGTATTTTGCCAGGTTTAAGCCAGCAACTTGCAAAATTATAACTCCACTGTTCTTCAGGGTTCTCCTGTGAATAGGGGCTTTAACTTTGCCCCCAGAGTACTAACATCTCCAGGAGCCTACTAATCATTGGCTCTGAAATTCCCTTAGAAGCTGATTGACAGCAGCTGCCCATCTGGATAATCAGCAGAGAGTCCCAATTAAAGCTCTGCCCATCGATCTCCCCGGCAGGACCTGGGACTTTAATATAAATCCACAAGTGGAAAAAATTACCTCCTGAGAAAAAAAAAGCATTTTTGTAGAATGCACTATACGTCCATAGTATGCATTATTTATCATTCAAGATGCATGGTAAGCTCACCCTCTTACATGTTGCATTGTTCGTCTAATAAGGTGGTACTCAGGACCTTTTGTTTTCCATGCCTCACTTTGAAAAGAGACATGGGAAGTCTGGGAGAAAAATATAAATGAAAGAATATTTTTAGCACTGACAAAAATAGAAACTATTTTAAAGTAATCTGTGTTCTTGTCATTGCTGGGCCTTCATTAGCCACCTAAGGAGGAAGGCCCAATGTTTTCACAAATCCTCCAGATGAGGCCAAGTTTCAAACACACTCTCTCTATAGGGATTATGTGAAGATGTTAAAACTTGGCCAGAAAGGTGACAAGGTATCTTGATAATTGAGACCATCCTGGAAGTCGGCTGGGCAGTCCAACTGCTATGAACTAATGGTGGGTAATCAAACACAGCAGGTCAGCGCAGATCCAGGGAAATGCCAAGCAGCTTCCTTTATGCAAGGAATTCGGCTTAATTAGTCACCGAGGAGGAATAGGCCCATTTAAACTAATCCAAGAAATCATTATTGTTCGAGTTGCTTACATACAAACGTTAAAATTGTTGCCCTCTGAAAACAAGCAGCCTGACCTGCAAAGGAAAACAGTCACCTAACCTTTACATCAATGAACTCTCCGGAGGCTCAGACGCCCCTTGTTTCTCCTTGTGGGTTTCTCCTGGTTGGTTTCTCAGTGGCTCTGTTTCACCAGGTGGATGATAAATGTGTCCTGAATAAGACCTCAAGAAGGGCTACTGGCGAGCAGGAGGAATAGACTTTTAAAGTGTGTGGATAGTTTTAGGGATGAAGAGTGACAGGTGCTGCTGGAAGCAGGTGATGGCAATTAGAACAAGGTTGTCAAAGGAAAGTTTTCCTAGAGCCCCAGAATTGCCACTGAGGCCCTGAGTGGTGAGCAAAAGGCACTTGGTATCCCTTCTGAGACTAATCTCTCAAGGCGGGGTTGGGAGGTCACGCCCAACCTACTGAGTCTGGCAATTCCAAAATCAGCCCTCCCACCCTTCCCCACCCATCACCCATATTCCAATTCCATTGGAGAAAGTCTGGGAGGTGGGAAAGGGTCAGCCGTTTGGACAGACCTGCTTTTGCAGAGAAAGGCTGTTCCTGCTCTTAGAATAGCTTGAAGGAGGTCCTCCCTAGTGGCGCAACGGGTTAGGATGCAGCACTGCAAGCTAGCCGCAGCCACTTCCGTGTGGCTTCGATCCTTGGCCCAGGAGCTGACCACGTGGCGCAGCAGACCTCTTCTAACCTGCCTGCTGCTCCCCTCAGCTGTATATTTCACTACACCTGCCTTTTCTGTCCCCCACTTTATCTCTGATGAATCCTCTCACCCCCAAACCTCTGGCCTGTACCCCAGTTCTGTATGCATAAATAAATCTTTAAAAAAATAATAATGATAGGGCCCTCCCTGGTGGCAGAGCGAGTTAAAACACAGCACTAAGAAGCTAAAGCCACTTCAGCATGAGTTCGATCCCTGCTTGCCCCGGAGGTGACCCACATGGCATAGCAGACCTCGCATGACCTGCCCGCTGCCCCCCTCAGCAGTGTACTTTGTCCATCTGCCTGTTCTGTTCCCCACTCTGTCTCTGGTGAAGCCTTTCACCGTTCCTGCACCTCTGCCCTATACCCCAGTTCTGTATGCATAAATAAATCTATTTTTTAAAAGACTATCTTGAAGAAATGTGTTTTCCTTCTCCAATCATTCACAAAAATAAGAGGTGCAGGATAGCCTAAGTGAGTGAGAGAAAGAGAACAGCCCTAAAACTCCCTATTTTTGGAGGTGCAACAGATCCTGACTATGCCCAGAGAGAGGGCAAAGTGGTATCTGCATCAGAGGAACATAGAACCAGCTGGGCTCTGTTGGAATTTTGGAGTGATTTTTAATATGCAAGGTTGCTGCTTGGGCTTGCATCCCTGATAGGCTCATCTGTTGTGGCCACTACTGCCCTCATGTGAACCACAGAACATGAACTAGTCGACAGCCAGTCTGGGAGACCAAGAGACACCTGCCCTTGTCGCTTCCCTCCTCCCTGGCCTGTACA